CGTTTTAATCCGATGGGGATACAAAAAATGTCATTCGGGGGTTGAAAAATTGTATCATACATTTGAATTTAGCACGTTGCCGAATTAAACCTGGACGAACTGATCGAGAAATATGATTCGCCTTCAATTCGACTAATATGCAATATTAGCTACTCAGAAGATAAAATAGTTGCATCTTTCATATTGAAGTTCTTACGGGGTTCAATGGAAGACGAAAGATTCGGTATTTGACGGTGAGATCTCCTTCAGTTTTGAATTTTGTCACCGTTAGGACCTCAACTTTACGAGGTCTCATTCCTAGAGTGAGAGCCGATTTTAGGCAAAATAGAGTTATCTAAGTGTGTTTCGCGGGATAAATTTCCGGAGTTCATGGAATCGTCTAGTTAGAAAATCCATCTCCAGTTATTACAATTTTTTCCTTTTTTTTGTGTGCAAAAATTAGGTCTCTTACATGAAAATGGTGGAGCCAATCAAGGCGCTAGCCTTGATCATTCTTGGCATTCTTGTCGGAACTCTCTCCATACGGATGGTGCCATTGTGATTCCGCTCAGCTGAGCGAAATGTGCTCTTTTTTGGTTAAATGATGTGAACGTTGCCATGGAAATAACTTAGGAAAGGATCGGAGCACCAAAGAATAACAGGATGGACAAAATACCTCTGAGCAGTGCTGCCATGCCCCGGAACTAATTCCAAATTTCGAAACTTTTCAAATAATATTTTAGTTGTTTTCGACATTTTCGGCATTTACTTGGAATTTTAGGGTTTCTGTCAGTTTGACCAATTATTTTATCACATTTGATAAACATTTTTTCATTAAATTTTACGATCTTCGGAATTGTACCCGGACGTACTTCGGACTTTTCCCCGGAACTTTTGAGAAAATTGGAAAATTTTCTCGGAACTTAGGGAAATAGGAATTAATTCCGGAATTTTAGGTAAAATAAAATGGCAGCACTGCTCCGGAGGCTTCCAATAACAGTCAATCATTTATTTACGCTTGCTATCAAGCACAAGAGCTACACAAGAGATGCCTGTAAGTGGCAGCAGTATTTGCCATGCGCAACGTTCATTCGTTGTTAACCTACCTGAGCGAGGAAACCTATGTAAAGAAACAAACTCGGAAGCTCCTACGGTAGGTAATGTACGATGACTTGCGGGCCGAAGGATTCAATTAACAGCGAACAGTTTACTTTGAAACAACTTAAAGCCCCAACTTCAAAGACATACACAGCAATGTCGTCGCTCCTCTAACGTAATGGCGTATCTCTGTTCCTACATGAGCCCCGGAGATCATAGATTTACATGTAAAACAAAGCTCACGTAGAAATTGTGATACGCCCTTATGTCAGAGGAGCGACCATGTGTGTCGTATGAGCCGTCGGCAAATCGCAGATGAAGCCTGCCAGATTTGTATGCATATGTTGGGTCAGGTCTGGTGTTCAGTAAAGGCCAAATGGACTTCATATTGCAATAAGGAACTACTATTTTGGGCTAATTAGTGAAAGCTTTATATGCATTGGAAAACTAATGCCACATTTGTTGTTCGTAAAATGAGCCTCACATGGTTTTTCTTTATTACAACATTTAGTCCATCAGATAAAAGACATAGGTACTTATGTTTGATTTTAGCGAGAAACATTGGTCTCTCAACTTTTTAAATGATTCTTAAAAATATACGAGAAAAGTTGAAATCTCGATTATTGGTAACGATGCTGCTGTACGATAGTAAATGCATGATTTCTCTCACGCGCATTTCGTCTTTAAGACGTAGGCCACACAGCAGCGCAACCATGCGGCAGATTTCCTCTCTTGATTATAAAGTCACCTGTCTATCACTTCAATTGACGTTCAACGTAACCTAACTTTCATAAATTATTGAATGAGAGTGAAGTAAAAATTAAGTGGTTTAAAACTAAAAATTTAAGGGCTAGAAACGGATGTTTTTGAAGGATATTTTCTTTAAGTTTTCTTTAGTTTAAAAACTACGGGAACTATTTACTTCGCAGTGTTTCCACAAAGGTAAATGACGACATTAATCTAATAGCCTTTTTCTATTTCATTGACGAGCCATTTTCTTCTAACTCTCGAGGCACTCAGCTCATTTGTTAAGCCTTTCATGCCATGCAACCATTTCTTGATGCCAATATCTGACATATTATTTTCATGTTGTTTATGACTTTGAAATCTAGCATCAAACTCATTTTGCATCATTTAATCACGGTTTTGAATAAGGACTCTGCACTCTGTATTTTTGGCTCGTCACATACTAGAAGTATTCATCATTTCTCTCAACTTTTGAAAAATGCACCCAAATTACACAGCATTAAGCAGTAAGAGAAAATTAGATTGAACTTTAAAACGAGTTAAACTAAGTTAGCAGAGCTCTAAATATTAATCCCAAATGAAACAGATAGTTTACAGCCGTCAGGATTGTTTTGAGCTTAAATAAATACGTATACAAACGAGTGAACGTTTCAGGCGGTAATTTGTACTTACTCCTTCTGATGTACGAAACAACGTACCCACAAACAAAACTCCAATTACCTACTTTCCGAAATTCTACTCTGCAATCTGATGCAGTAGCGAGGCGTGAATGGTCAATAATCAATTTTTCTCTGTTTAAAGCTATGGTAAAGAATCGATTAAGTGGATCGTTGCGAACACCTTGTTTGTTGATCCTTTTCCATAAGTATAAATGGGAGATCAATCGATACATCGCAAAACACGCCACCACACTGGTTTGATTTAGTTATAATTGACAGGATCAAAGGCGAGGACTCTTTCAACCCGTCGATCGGTGATAAGGGAGACTCATCGACATTCTACAGGCGCTGCGTTAAAAGCTCCTTCAAATTCCAAGTCTGCAATTTTCCATGCACTTATATGACACGCTAATTTACCCACTTCCCGCGCTGCTTCTTGTCGTCTGTTCAGTGGCAAGGCGTGAAGGATCGATTATCGATATTTTCGCATTTCAAGCTGTGGTAAAGAATTGATTATTAAGGTGTTCGTTCGACATATCGACAAACATATCGATCCTGATCCATAGGTTTGAATGCCATAACGATCGACATATCGCAATTCTCGCCACGCCATGCCACTGGCCACTGGTCCATTGCATCGGGTCAACTCTTTCAGTCGCTTCGTCATTAAGGTGGCCCACAAAAAATGAATTTCGGAAATTTATAGCCGTAACCCCCTAAACCGGTTACAGCATGTTCAAAAACACGGGAAATGAAATTTGGGGTCAATCGGACAAAATTAACCCGACGCGCAGTTGCCATTTATCCCCGCAAAAATAGCGAATTTTTACTGTTTTTCAGTAATTTTTCGCTCCCAAAAAATAAAGTCGGAAGGGTCTGCAAATTAAACAGATGGCAAAATTAGTTCATAAACTACACCCTAATGAAGTTTTGGGCACCCTCCATGCTTTTGACCCGACGCGCGGTTGCCATTTTCACGCATGAAAATAGCGAATTTTTGACTGTTTTTGATGATTTTTCCCTGTCGATGAATTAACGTTACAGATGCCTAAATTGTAATCAGAGTGTGGAATTAGTAGCTACGATGCTCCCAATGCTCCCCTTCTGATAATTTTGACACGCTGCGACGTTGCCATTTTTCTGAGCAAAATCGTGAATTTCGACTTATTTCAATATCATCTCTCTAGACCTAAAAAAAAACTCAGGAGCCATCGAAAAAGTGCGATAAAACACGGTGATTATACCATGAGTATCTTCTTTGAAAATTTGGACCCTGTAAAATATTTTACTCGGCGTGAAGTTACCTTACTGCCTGATCGGCCAGGTAGTCAACCGTCCTAGATTTCAAAAGTCTCAAGATAACATTTTCGGCAATTTCTGCCATTTTGGATTTTTGAATTTTAAAAATTTGAGTTGAGATTTAAGTTCCTTCAAAAAATACCCCCTGACACCATGACGGTAAAAGTCAAGTTTCATACGTTAATGCGCCTTCAATTACATTTGATACCGTGCAATACTTTCGTGGTGGAATATTTGCATTGGCGCCTACAAACCTAACGGGGATACTGCATGCATTGCGCAATGAGTGAAGTATCCCTGTTAGGTTTGTAGGCGTCAATGCAACTAATCCACCACGAAAGTATTGCACAGTATCCAATGTAATTGAAGGCGCATTAACGTATGAAACTTGACTGTTACCGTCAACCACTGTTTGCCAAGTGGTAACTTCACGCCGAGTATAACATTTTACAGGTCCAAATTTTCAAAGAAGATACTCATGGTATAATCACCGCGTTTTATCGCACTTTTTCGATGGCTCCTGAGTTTTTTTTTTTTTTTTTTTTTTTTTTTTTTTTTTTTTAGGTGTAGAGAGATGATATTGAAGTAAGTCGAAATTCACGATTTTGTTCAGAAAAATGGGAACGTCGCAGCGTGTCAAAATTATCAGAAGGGGAGCATTGGGAGCATCGTAGCTACTAATTCCACACTCTGATTACAATTTAGGCATCTGTAACGTTAATTTATCGACAGGGAAAAATCATCAAAAACAGTCAAAAATTCGCTATTTTCATGTGCGAAAATGGCAACCGCGCGTCGGGTCAAAAGCATGGAGGGGGTCCAAAACTTCACTAGGGTGTAGTTTATGAACTAATTTTGCCATCTGTTTAATTTGCAGACCCCTCCGACTTTATTTTTTGGGAGCGAAAAATTACTGAAAAACAGTAAAAATTCGCTATTTTTGCGGGGATAAATGGCAACTGCGCGTCGGGTTAATTTTGTCCAATTGACCCCAAATTTCATTTTCCGTGTTTTTGAACATGCTGTAACCGATTTAGGGGGTTTACGGCTATAAATTTCCGAAATTCATTTTTTGTGGGCCACCCTACTTCGTCATCATTGACTTCTTAGAATATTCGGATTGGACTTTTATGGCAAAACATTTTTTACTTAAGTAAACTTTCAGGAGAATGAATGTGGAGTTCCAAGTGTAAAGTAAGAACAAAAATGTATACTTACGAAACCGCTCATTTTATGATTTTCAGGAGTTCGATGATGGTAGTTGAGCACCAGTACTGTTAATACGACTGAGGAAGCCACCATGAACATAATACAGTTAAAATATGTACCTGCCAAGAAGAAGAAAAGCCGTGTCGATTACAAACATTTTCAATTTTTTATTTGAATTTGTCTGATTTTGGTAAGAAAATGACGAAAAATCAGCAATAAACAGAAATAGAGGGGGCCCTTTAATTACTACTCCGACCAAGTTTCATTACCTATCAAGATATTTTAGGGTTATAAGGATACAGCATTAGCCGCGCGATAACGGAGCAAACTTTTTGAAAGCACATATTTACAAGCACGCTTGGTTAGAAAATTACTTTGTTTCTTGCTCAGGCCAGCATATTTTTTTGAGGTCGGGACTCAAAATTTACATTAGAAATAAGGTACATTAAGCGATGGCATTAACGATAATTTTTTTCACATATATTCTCTTCAACTTTTTCCTTTTCTTAATCCATTCTATCTTGTTCATTTCCATCATTTTGGAAATTAAATTCTGAAAATATAATATAGTCTGGAAATATGGTTTTATATCCCTGTGTATCATCTTCCTCTTGATTCCTCACTTAATTCTCACCCATCAACAAACACTGCTTAAGTGCTGAAAAGAGAGATGAAATAACGAGAGTTTACAATTAAGAGGATCCGTAAACTTCATACTTTACGAATTTTCCTCTCCTGCCAACCTTGAAGCTAATGCCGCAGCTGAGAAAAATATTTTTTTCATCGGAAATCTCTAATCGTGGAAAATTGCCGTGGTCTATGACGTCTAGTCATGCACGATAATAAAGACAGTCACTATAGCTCTCCTGTGCTAAGGAAGAACGTGTCAACATCCGGATCTTGCCAAATTCCTCCTGGTAATATATTTAATTTTAAGGAATTCTATGAATATTTTCCCTTGAAATTTCCACATATTGTAGATGAATTGCAAATTAAACGCTCTGAAAAATGAAAAGAAAAATCTCCACAAGTTTCCTTGAAAATGCGTGTTTTATCACACTAAGTTTGGCAATGGCCGAGGGCTCATACAGTATTTTTCCTCAGGAGGGCAGAGCTACCGTGCTAAGGATGAATACCGTATCAATAATCAAACATTGCCAAATTTCCTTTGACAAATCATGAATTTTAAAAAAAAAATTCAAATAAGTATTTTCTGATTTTTCCGAGAAATTTTGCTCGTAGAAAAAAAAAGTTTGGAAATTTCAAGGAAAAATCTATTACTTAAATAAATTATATTTTCTGAGCGGAAACTTGGCAAAATTCGAATACTAATACGGCGTTTTTCCTACGATTCCTACGATGATTAGACTCTTCAGTCATAATGGCTAGAGTCATCGAAGCAATTTTATTTTTCCTTGAATGACGTCATTCATCACGGCATTTTTCCTTCCTTGATGAGCGAATTCCGCGAGAAATGACTCGAGGAAAAGCGTCAAGCAGTGGCGTGGCGTGAATGATCGATTATCGATATATCCCCATTTGAAAGTACGGTGAAGAATCGATTATTAAGGTGTTCGTTGCAAACACCCTGTGAATCGATCTTTTTCCATAGGTTTAAATGGCAGATCCATCGATAAATCGCAAAGCACGCCACGCCACTGGCGTCAAGGTATACCGGGGCGAGCATAAAATCCGCAAAATATGAAGCGATGAAAAGGACCGTAGCCCCGGATGAGGCGAGTTTAGACAAGGGCTAATTACAAACTTGGCCAAATCCAGGTTTGCCGAACGTGAAGCAGCTCCGCCGGGTGCGAGACCCGAATTCTCCGGGTTTTCCGGGCGATCTTGCGCCTGGGAGCCCACCCTACTCAAAACTTTCATTTTGCGCGGGGCAAGGTTTGCCAAGAGCAGAGCCTCAGAGATCAACGCCTGGATTGTTAAATCGATAAATCGATACTCCCATCGATAAATGCCACTATTGAGATAGGAATTCATCGATGGAGGTTATTCGAGAAAGATCGATCCACCCGCGTGGTGTATTGTTTCCGCGGTAAGATGGGGCTTTGCGGATTTATAAACTTCAAGTATGTACCTTAGGTTGCTTACATCTTGTTATGAATCAAAATTTGAGTACTTGACGGTTGTAAACGACTCTGAAAGTTTTCCTGTAAAGTGTGGAAAATCAAAACAACCTGAGGGCAATTGAGTGTTGTTGCAACTCTGCGTGGTTTTTCTTATTGTAAAAGAGCATGAGTGACTTTGCTCCATTAAATACAGGTATACTGCCTTAGTAAGGAAGAACGCCGCATGAGCCTTCAGACGTGGCCATTTTTCCTTCGATAAAAACCAAATTTACCGGGAGAATTGTGAATATTTTTCTTCAAATTTTCAGAAAATTAAGTTCAAAATTTGATCTAAAATACGTAAAATTTTCAAGGAAAAATATGCATAACTTTCCTCGAAAACTCATGTTATATCCGGGGAAATTCGGTAACTTTCGAATGTTCATACGGCGTTCTTCGTTAGCATGGTGGTATACACTTAGGGCTGTCGGTTGTATTCATAGTTAAAAATGTATGGTTTTCATTGGGATTGAGGGAGTTTTAAGGATAGCCTCTTGGAACCATCATAAAAAGGATAATTTTAGCAAAACTTGCGGGATACAATTCAGGAGCATTATTTTGAAAAGCGATGCGATCCTTGCTAGAAATTACAATGCTTTGCCATTGCAGGAAAAAAAAACCCACAGAGGAGAATATAATGCGGATTTTCCAAATTTTGAGGTGGATCAGTATATCTACCTAAAAGTTTGTCAAAATTGTAGGATATTATCCTCTGTATTTTGTACTTTCGTTGGCACTTGCAACGATCAATTTTCTGCTTATCGTTCACGTTCGGCAAGCCTATAGGTACGCCGTCTCCATACTTACTTTGTAAACTATAAGGACGGCACTGTAAAGAACTTAATACTAACCATGACAAAACAGGAGAATTTTAAACGAACTTACAGGAAAGGAATAGGGTAAAACGTCAAACAGAAAGCATTAGACAAACGACGGGCACAATCTCAAAAGCACACAACAAACGACAAACATTTAACTTAATATTCCGACAAAGTTCAGGAAGCCTACAATTTGCGTATTTTTACATCGGTGACAAGGAGGGATCAACATACAGTAATGAGGTTTTTCTCTTTTAAATTCAATAATTGAATCCATGCAGTTATGCGTAACAACTTGCGTTTGGATGCGGACAATTTTGTGGCCTCAATAGTCAAGCACAAGAGTAAAGGGGCAAAGAGGGATTCAAGCGACAAAACGAAAGGGATTTCAGGGCGGTGAAAACAACACAACATTCGTAAAGAAAGGAGGTCGGTGAGTGGAAATGAGCGAATATTCACGTTTAAAGGTTTTTACTGGGCATGAAGATGGAATTCCTGATACTTGTTGAAAATAAAAGGCACAACATCATTTAAAAAAGGAGGCTTCAAAACGAGGACAGAGCTTGATACAAGAAGCTTAATATTCGTCATAGAGTGGTTTTTCAGCTTTGAAGTCATATGCATTCTGATTACGATTGATTTATTTCAAATTCGATCAATTAAGTAGATTATTTTGGAAAAATTGAAATTTCAGTCAAAGGATCCATCATTAAGGAATATTCGTGCCGAAAACCATCTTTCAAAATTTGAAATAAAGTCAAAAGCGCCATTTCAACTTCGCAGCCGTTTTCAATGTATCCATATCTATGATTGATTGGAAACAAGGCTTTAAATTTTATTTTAAAATTTTGGAGGATAATACTTAACACAAACACTTCTCAATGATTTATCTAGAGACCGAATTTCAATTTCCCCGAAATAAAGCACCTGATGATTAAAATTTTAAAAATACGATCGCACCGAGAATGCATTGCGCTCCAGCTGAAGATACAGTCCATTTTCTTTGACCAACCCTCCACCCCGTCTCTAACTTCTTAACAAGGGAGGAGTGGGGGATCTACTCTTTGGAAACCCTACGAAGCCGAGTGAGGGGGGTCCGATTTCCACCCCCCCCCGGGCATGACTCCAGGGCACCACTAATTGGTTCCTCGCGAACCGCGCGCATTTTCCAATAAAGGCGGCTCGCACAAATATTAAAGTAGGATCCAGAATGTTTTAGTTGGCTCTATCAAACAGAACTTAATTTGCCCGCGATTTATTAAAGTTCGGTGCCTCGGTGCATTGCCCCTCCGAGCACAGGAACTCAACTGAGGTGGGGGGGGGGGGGGGGGGTGCTGAGCCCCAACCGACCGCATTCCCAGAGCTACGTCCGTCGTGAATGAGTAGAAAAGTGAATGATGAAATCAATTGACTGGATCGGCTACGTTTTGATTGCGTGCTTGAGGGCGGCCGCCCTACGAGCACTGTTGACAGATATTGCTGAAAAATCAGCACTTTCATCCATTTAATTCCATTTTAAATATCTAGATTTCAGCGCACAGCCTGGCGTCCTTGCCACTGAGAATGCCGATTGCGGTCTTAGGTTTCTTCATTTAGTGCCTTCGGCAATCAAAGGAAAGCGAGAAGCCTTCTTCTTGTGTTGATGCCTTTTCTGCAAAACATTTTTCTGCTCATCTTTTTCATTGGTGATCGTTTTAAAAGTATGAATATTCACTTTTTCAAGTAAAACCCGAAAGAAAAGACCATTGGCGACCATATATGGACTGCAATTTGCAATTTGGACCTATAAATTCTGGCTCTTCTGGAAAAATACTCATGTGCATAAGGAAACTAATGGCACATGCGTTGTTTTTAAGCCGGGCTAGAATGTATAGTTCCATATTGCAAAATGTAGTCCATTTATCGTTTACGTTAGTTCCAACAACAAGAATACGGTTGAAAACCCCGGATTTCCAATGTGCATATTCTATCCGTGGTCGGTCTACTTGTCGTCGCCCAGACGCAATGGTGATTCTTAAAAGTTGGCAACACTATCTTTCCCCAATTTAAATGTATGTAAAACAATCGATTATTGGTTTTGCAGCTTGCTTCGGTTAAAATCGATGTATTCAATGGGTATAAATGGAGAAAAAACAGTGATGCCAACTTGCAAGAATCGCTACTGCCGAGACGAGGATC